AACTTATTTTCTGTCCTCACTGAAATCAAGCATCTCATTCTTTACTGCCCTTTGGCTATTTTGACACTTTCATGCTGCTGTAACCTCTTCCTCCTCCTTCAAAAATAGAGTGAATAGAAAGTTAATAAAATTGATTCCCCTTTTTGAGTGAGAGTTTGGGGATTTACTTTGTTCTGGAAACATGAAAAAAATGGTTCAGTAGAGTTTTTGTCATGTGTTATCTCTGAGGCGTAAACTACGGCTGGACTTACATAAAGTATCTAAGCAGATAGCTGCTGAAATACCTGCTTATTCTGAGGCTCTGGAAATTGGAAGTCATTTACTCCATCAGTCTGTCAAATCGCCACCCAGGGAACCGACCCTTGAGGAGTGCACACTAGGAGAATGCAGCTAGACATCCCCCAGGGGCCAGGCATGGGCTCCTTGCCTTCCGTCTTCAAAACAAGACTAGTGTCAGGTGGCCTCTTGGAGCCTGGAGGGACTAGCTGGATCTAAAATGCTCTCATCCCTGGCACGCGTGTCACACACTGCACTCAGAATTAAAGGAAACAATGTGGAAAAGCTCAGGACGAGGAGCCCCTGTCTGCCAAGCCCCCCAGCATTGCAGACTCTCTCCCAGACGCCTGCCCTGAAGTCCTTGCTGCACAGGATACGTTAATGTCCCCCGTTTCCTGGAATCTGTTGATGCCCTGAAATGGAAAATTGGAAAGCTGCAAGTCTTAGGCTGCTTTTTCTTTCTCGCTCCCCTCCTCTGAGTCCAGTTCAGAGCTGCGGTGGAGCACAGGGGTGGAGTGTGTTTTTCGTCCTGTCCCTGTGCCCCTGGTCCTCTCTCCCACCCTCAGGTCAGTCGGCACTGCCACACTGCAGGGCAGGCTATGAACTGGCTTCAGCAACTGGGAGTCTTCATAAATTGCTTCTCTTACATGCTTTTTTGAAGTTAATTTCTTTTACTTAAAAAATGTTAATTTTGTGAATATGACTCTTCCAACTCCCGTTCTCCATTATAGCGGCCCTCAACCTTCCTAATGTTGTGACCCTTTAATACAGTCCCTCATTTTGTGGTTACCCCAGCCATGAAATTACTTTTGTTGCTACTTCATAGCTATGGTTTTGCTACTGTTCTGAATCATAATGTAAACATCTGACGTGCAGATGGTCTTAGGTGACCTCTGGGAAAGTGCCGTTCAGCGCCCCAGCTTGAGAACCACTGCTCTATTGGAATTGTTAAAGTGCCTGCTTTTCTCCAAGTTATTTTTAAAAACTAGAACAATTGCTATCCGTCTTTCCTTGTGGCAATGGGCTTCCAGCCAGTGTGAACTGGCTTCGCCTTCCCTGAGTTGTCCCCTCACCTCCATCTGAGCCTTAGAGCTCTGCCTTTTGTTTTAGTTTCCGGGGCTTTGCCAGAGTGCAGTTGTAACTAAGTGTGCAAGGATAGGTCAACAAAGAGTGAATTCCTTACATGTCTGCAAACACACTCTTTACACGTGCACGCTTGGCTTTCATTCCGGTGCTCAACTGCAGGGGTGTGTGCGCGCCGAGGGTGCTGTGGCAATGGTGGTCCAGTGGTATCTCCTCGTCGCTGTGCAGCCTTGCTTTGAGGGTGTCTGCGCTGTGCACAGCCCTGATCACAGGCAGCGCCTCCCTCTGTAGTCACAGTGACCTTGCCTAATGTTCTCAGTTTTCTGCTTTCCAGTGTCCGCTCTTGTTGATACCTTGCAAAAGCTCCTGCCTGGGAACTCCTATGTGGAAGGAGCAAACTGGCTTTGACCTTATGATTGTTGCTTTTTTTTCTTCTTCTTTCTGTCTTTGACTAGCTCTGCATCTTCGGGCAGTTACGGTATTTATAGGGTCACCTGCAAACGATGGAGGAGCAAAGATCACAGCTGCCTCAGTTCCTTTCACTGGAACACATGGGGTGTCATAACTGTATATAGTCATAACCACAGTTTCCGGCGTTTAATTTCTCTTTGAATATCTCCTGAACCAGTAATCCAGTGTTCTTTATCCATCTGATGCTGTATGTTCATGTTTGTTTGCTTTCTCTCATCCCAGAGGCAATTCACAGTGAAAACCCTTTGTTCAGCAAAACACAGTAAACATCAGGTGTGATGCGAGTTCCCCAAGTGTGGATTTTTCACGTAATTGAATGGGCAGTATGTTTGTATTAAGCGATTTTGCAAGGCATGCAGCATGAGAAAGGGTGAACTGAGAACAGTAGGCAAACACACCGTTATTTCATGATGCGCGAAGGGCTGGAGAGATGGCCTAGTGGTGAGGAGCACTTGCTGCTCATGAGGGGACCAGGATTCAGTGCCCAGCACCCACACGGATGCACACAGCCACCTGGCACTTTAATGTCAAGATACCGAATGTCGTCTTCTGGCCTCCATGGATTCCTACACACATGATACACATAAACCCATGCGAGCACACACCCGTATATTCAAAATAAATAAAACTTTAATGTGTCATATTGGTATATAACAACACTGAAATATTTGTCAAGGTGTATTTCCTGCATCAAGTTTGTGTGTGTGTGTGTGCACGTTTTAAGATTTATTTTCGTTATTTTAATTACTTGCCTATTTCAGCATTTCTGCATGGGAATGTACATGAAAGTAGGTATCTGCTGTAGCCAGAGGCTTCATATCTCCTGTGGATGGAATTATGGGTGGTTGTCTCGCCAGTAGATGTGTTCCAGAGAAGAGTGTTACTCTTTCATCCTCCCCCCCTTTTTTTTTCAGAAGACATAGAGACAAAGCAGGTAGTCATCATACCTCCCTTAGCCTCCCCCTCGGGTGTCTCAACACCTCCAGCTGAGCTTTCTACCTCTGCATTCGTAAATAAAAGGGAGGGGTGCTCTGCCCTCTCACCTGGAAGTCTCTTGCTAGCATCTAGCTTAAGTTAATCTGGTCGTCCTTGTACATTGATTGTGCAAGAGCTGGAGTTCATTTTCATGGCTACAGCGGGGTGCAGTCTTTAGTTTTGCTGACAGTGATTGTGTGCACACAGCTGTTAAAAAGTAGGAGACAAAATAAGGCATGTAGTAGGTGACACAGACCCGTGCGGAAGATTAGAGATGCTTAGCTGTAGCTCCGTCTATGGCTGAGCAAAGTCTCCTGAGTGACCCAAACTTCATACCTGTAGAGGTTTGTTGATGCTGCCACTGTTTTGTTTTTCCTGTGCATGGGAGCCAGGGGTACTTATTGTAGGGCAATAGTCTGCAAATAGCCTCTTTCGGTGTGTTTCTGTAGTTGAGGTATCATTTCTGTGGCAGTTTCCCTGGTGCCACATAGGTGTTTCAGCAAGGGCTACATCTTGGTGGCATTTCAGTGGGACCTACAGTATTAATGGATCTGAAGACGATGTCTTTAACCTATAAAATCACCCCCCCCCCCCCGCCTTACATCTGGCTTATAAAGGATCCTGACACTTCTCCATCTCCTAGTCCCAGTGGAGAAGCATCATTTAGGGGTTCGTGTTTACAGTCGGAATGCTGTTCTTAGGCAGGTTCAAGATGCTGTTAACCTTTGAGATGTGTTATGTGCTCGTGCTTGAGAGAGATGGATGTCTAAGAAGTACGTCTTAGAGCCTCTCACAGCACATGAGCAGCAGTCTTCAAGCACCGGCTCCTTGGCGCAGGGCCTGCAGGATGCACGTGTGTGCCTGCCACTCCTCAGTGCCAGCCTCACGGAGCCCCGCCAGCCCTCTGCTTCGGAAGGTGGTGGGTGCGTCTGAGCTAGCTGACAGGAAGGCGTGATGAAGTGACCTGCTCTTCTCCAAGCTCCGTTTTAGGAACGTTCTGTGTGGTTTGTCATTTTGTGGACTGATGTGTCTGATGGCCTGAAGGCACCTCTGTACAGATGTACATAACTACATGCTAGGTGAGAACAGGAAAATTGGCCAGGCATGGTTGCATGCACCTGTGATCCCACCACTCGGAAGGAGGAGACCAGGGGATGGAGAATTTAGCTACACAGCAGTTTAAGACCAACCTGGAGTGTGAGACCCTGTCTCAAGTAAAATAAAATGTTCTTCCTTTCCTAGTGAGGATGGTTTCATGTATTCATAGTGAAATGAACAAAAAACAAAGGATAAAAATAAGAGAAAGGAAAAATAAAAGTATATGTATATCTATTATTTTGTGAAGCATAGGAGTAGATTGATTAAGCTATACCTAATCGCTCCCTCTAGACACTGCCAGAGCGTGCTCAGGGCAGTTTTGCTTTGATTAACAAGGTGTTACAGACAGTTCAAGTTGAAGTATACGTGGCCCCCTGAACCGTTTTATTTGGAAAATGAGTGTTTTGTAAATTTGTTGATTTAGTTAAAGACATCGATCACAATCATGTTCATCGTGACTCCAGCAGTCTCCAAGAGTCAAGTGTAAGGATCGATTAGTGAACTCCTCAGTGAAAACCATTAGTCAAATGATGAACTAAGAAGGGTTTTTGGGCAATATTTATTCCACTTTTATTTTGGAATACCAGCATACTCAACAATGTCTGTGACCCAGTGGTGCATTTTTAAAACGCGTTGTGCAGTACAAGGACTGCCTACATGGCTGTTTGCTTTCTCTTGTCTTGCCGTGTGCCACTAAACGGATGAAAGTCTTTGTAACCAAGACTTCGATCCTGTGAAAAGGACTAGCTACCCCCATGCTTAGGGTTGCTCTTTGGGGAGCCTCCCTGGCTCAAGGGTTTTAGGCTTGGAATTTTTCCTACTAAATGCTCCCTTTGACAGGCTCCGCTAGGAGGTAATGATAGGAAAGTGTTTCGTAGTGGTCAGGGCTATTCACACCCCAGCTGTTTTGGTCTTTGAAGTATTTTAGGCTGTAAATGTAAAGATGTTCACTTAGGAATATATCACAACATCGCAGCAACCTAATTACTACTTAAATCATACAGTCAAAAGATGACATACACATAGCAAAGTTCACATTAATTACAGTTCAGCGTCCTTCGTAACCAGCATGCTCTTCTTTGTCACACTGCCTCTAGGATGAAGAAGGCACGGAAGAGGACAGCAGCCGCGTGGAGCCAGTTGGACATGCTGACACTGGATTGGAGAACATGCCCAACTTCTCTCTCGAGTAAGTTCCCGCGAGCTCGCCTCCATTCCTACCGCGTATGTGAAGCATCATTGCTGCGGCAAGTGCTCCAGAGGCGTATGGCATGCGAAGTGCTTGTGCTTAGGGGAAAGCCACGCCTGCATTGCTTCATTTCTCCTGTGCAATGTCCTGTGAGCCGTGAGGAGTGGAAGTTCATACGTACCTGCCCCTGGGTGTCATGCCTTGGCAAAACCTAAATTAGATTAACATAGTGTTTGATTGAAAATGTCTGTGATGTTAACAGCTCTGTAAACACTCTCTGTTTAGGTCACTTTATCTGTCTATATGTTGATCATTCATTCAAGTTTGCAAAATCAAAAAAATCTTATTTTATTCTAAAAATTAGTTGAATTAAGTATGCATTGGTCACACAAAAATGTACACACACATGCATCCATGCACACACATGCAATTTAGTTGAAGAACCAGGGTCTGTGAAGATACTTGATGGGCTGATGGGTGCCATACAGGAGGAGTGCAGAGATGATTTTAGATTTTTAGATGATTTTTAATGTTTACAGTGGGGCCTGTTTCTGATATCTCCTCCTTGTAGACTGGAACAGGGAGGGCAGTCATAATCATCTTTCCTTGACTTTTGGGTCAAAATGTGGGTCGAAGACAGCACTGTTTACAAACTGAATTCAGTGTTTTCTTGGTCTTCCACAGTGGGCTGCTGCGAACATTGAGTAGGCTCAAATACAATCACCAGAATTTGATATTTTTAAGAGATGTTTTTTAGACAAAATAGAATAAAACAAACCTATTAAAATTATGCTTTTCTTCAAATGAAATGAAAATGTTCAAATAGTATTAGCAGTTTGAGAACAGAATTGTATATAATTATACAAAACATGACTAACGCATAATATTTTATATTAGTAAATATAAAATATTTTAGCTGTGTAGACAAATGTTTGTTTGTGTAGAGAAAGGTGTTTATAGACTAAGTTCTCAAACTTACAGCAGTCCTCAGCCTCCTGTATTCTGAGACCATAGGCATAAATCGCAACGCCTAACTTCTATTTTTAATTAGTATATATAACTTATATATATGATTCTGTTTTGTTTTGGTTACCCCTATTATTAATGGCATTTAGTCTATGTAAGTGAGACATTCACAGTAAATGTTATTATCCAGCGCTTATGCAAAAAATATGTGTAGAAATTTGTCATTTTGTTTTACATAAAAACTACATTGTCAAATCCAGGATCAGTCACTTCTGGTTTTCCAAATCACTTAAAATAGATATTTAATTAAAATTCAATTTCCAAACATTGATTGATATACATAAACCCCTCTCTAAAATTGTGTGTATATGTTAAAATCTGCAAAGAAAGTAGAAATCTGTTAAGTAGTTTAGAAATTTACCTTTTCTATATTATCATTTTCATTGATATCGGGGCAGTACTAACAGTATGAATTCATGGACGTGGCTTTAATAACATTGATTCCTGGCCATTACACCAAGTTCAGCTTCTCAGAAGCAACTCCATGCTATTTTATGGAACGTGCTTTACAACTTTATAGTTCAGCTACGAACAGGAAAAGCATTTGGTGTCAGCGGGTCCATTTGGCTGAGACACTAGGCTTCATTAACTACCGTCACACTTTTCTGCAGCTTAGGTGACTGGCTCAGCAGAGTGAGCCGAGAGGCTGTTCGTGATCTCTGGACAGACAGCCTGCTGGTGCACAAATGCTACCCTTACTGGGTTACCTGAAGAATGAAGCAGCCTGACCTGTGCTGTGTCCACAGTGCTGGCATTTAGCTAACCTGAGAGTTCTTAAGTTAGAGCTGGGGTGGAGACTGCTCAGTGAGGTCGGGATGTTTGCTCTCCAAAGATGAAGTCCTGTTGCCCAGGGGAGAATGGTCTAAGAGGACCGCACCTATGCCCCTTGTAATGCAGCTGTCTCTGATGATGGCTCCCTCCATGCCCTCAGACTAGTGTTCAGGTAGGTGTGTTCAGTGCTGCCTCCATCACTATGCCTGTGTTCCGTGTGTGTGTGTGTGTGCGCGCCTTTCACCTGGTGGGGTTTTTGTTCTGTTCTCCTTTGCTGTGTGCCCTGTCTGTGTTGGCAGCTTTTGTTTTGTTTCTGTTTTGGTTTGTTGACAGTCCATGTTCATGCTTCCTCATTCATCATTGTCTCACAGTGATATGGTAAAGCTCGTACAAGTCCCCAACGATGGAGGACCTCTGGGGATCCATGTAGTGCCTTTCAGTGCTCGAGGCGGCAGGTAACGTATCTTGCAGGTTTTTAATCAATCATGATGCCCACTGTTTGTGTGTTGACTTTCATACATGCATAACTTAAAGACTCTCACTGGGGTCAGCTGCTTCTTCTGTTAAACATACATGTCCACAGAACATACAGAGCCTGATCAGGAACTTCCTGTGCACAGGAAGGAGTCATATGCTCAGAGTATCTTAACCAACTCACCACTTAGCACATCCTACTATGTATTTTGGTTGCAAGCTGACAACTCTGCCTGGATTTACAAGCTCCTGATAAGCTACAGTAATTATCTGTGGGGGTAAAAATCATACAATAAAAATTACCTGCCTATCTTAGGTGGGAATTTGTTTTAAGTTTATATTTGTTAGCTCATTTCTGCAATTATGTAAGACACTGCTGATTTTTTGAAAAAATTCCTAGGAAGTTGTACAAGCTGACTTTAATCTCCAAATGCTTGCCACACCAAATGTTGTGTTTTTATTTCCAGCCTTAGTAATTGAAGAACGTGATTCCGTATAGTCTACAAGTGTTACGTGACTTTTCTTGATGCTCCCACTGCCCCCAGCCATGAATTAGACATGATTTGGCGGTCCTTAACATATTCAAATAGTGTTGGTTCATGTTTGTACTAATGCTTGGTTGGGCAGGTAGCTTGGCCAGGTGGGGTGCCCCCTGTTTGTATGTCACTTCCCTTCTTTTTGTTCACTTGGTGATGACCTGGTGAAACATGTTTATGCCTTGTTTTTTGAGCACCTTAAATCTTTTATTGTTTTTTAATCATTCTTTGAAAAATATTTAGGCTTTTTTGGTAGGGAAAAATTGGCAAATAGCCTTAAACCAGTATGAGAGAACTTAAGAGCTTAGGAGCCTGCCCTGTGGCTGGGAGCCCGGAGCAGAGACAAGAGTCAAAGAGGTAAAAAGAGCTGTAATGGGTGACCAAAACCTGAACCCGTGACTGAGAACCTGGGGAATGTCGAACAGTGACCAAGAAGCTAGACCAGTGACTAAGCCTCTGGAACACAGAGTAGGAAACCACACTTGGCAGGGTAGACATATGACTCGGAACCCAGAACCGCAGCGGAGAACCTGCATCTGTTACGAAAGCCTAGAACAGTCCTTGTGAGTTGAGGCTAGAGACTGAGAATCGGTGTGTAGAACAGCTGAGATCCCCAAGCAGTGACAGAGAACCAACCACGTGTGCAGAAACTACTGTCCCCTGTACCTGGGAAGGCAGAGTGTGAATTAGCCAAACATGTGTTGTATTATTCTAAGACTCTGAGCGATTGTAGTGCTTCCTTATCCACTATGGTGACTGCAAGTCTGGATTTATATTCTTCCTTTGGTAAATAGAGATAGGTAGACAGAGGATCAGCTTGAAGCTGAAAGTTGAATTTGTCAAATTCTTTTGAAGCACCGTAAATGCAGTATTCTGTAGCTCAGTATAAATTCACCTTGAATTGTGAAGTGTTTTACTCATTTCTTTTTTTTCCTCTCTTTTATTTTTACTTTAAACTTTGGAAAAACATTAAAATATCTTCAAAAAACTTTCAGTTAAATAAATTTTTTAAAAGGTACCTTGGCTTTTTAAAAAAATATTACTTAGAATTATCTCAAAAGAAACTTGAAAGTTACAATCATGGATCATAGCGTCCCCACACCGATGATACTGAAAGTGCTTGTGTGTTGTAATTCATCGCAAATAGGATTATTGTGCATATGCCAACACTGAATCTGTATTTTTATTGCAAACGTGTTACTTTCTGTCTCATATTACACATTTCCTACCTCACTGTGAAAAGACATTAGGATAAAATAAACAGATGACAAGCCTAAAGCAAAAGGAGAAAACAGACATAAACCTGCCAGTAGCATGAATTCAGAGAAATATTTCAGAGCCCATCACAGTTGGTGGTTACTGTGGTACTGAGTTTGGATGCACAGAACCCAGTCAAGTAAACAAACTCTTCTTCAGAACTAGCAAATCTAGAGCTGAGTCATTTTTAATTCCTTGTGATTTGGCTCTTAATGAGGAAAAGTGTATAAGCTTTCCTATCTAAAGAATAAAGCCTATGACCTAGGAAGAGCAGACACATCATAAATCCCTGCTAGTCAGCAACATTTTTCTGTTGCAACTGATGGTTTTCACTCCACTTGTATGCAGTGTCTACAAACTTCTGCATGAACGTGATGCTTCTAGCTCTTTGGGATTGGGTGAACACTGTCAGAGATGGATATGGTAGCTCAGACTCAAGTCCCTTCTCGAGGAGCCTAGAGATTCCAGAGCTGATTAAAAATGGTCCTTTCTGTTGTGTCAGCAATCCAGAGAGGCCATCACCTTGTGATGAGGACAGTAGGTCCAAGGAAACAAGGATCAGTAGATCACCATATTTCACCATCAGAAATCCTGTGAGACGTTTATTACCCCATGATATAAGGATAGTGAGCAACAGAAAATAAGATGAACAGGAAGCCATTTTTCTCCAGGGATCTGCTTTCTAGATGCAGTTAGGAAATTGTTTCGTTATAACAAATATGATAACACTCTCTAAAGTTACATGGTGGGTCATCTGTGAGCTGATAGAGAAAATGTCGGAATTTGGAAACTGAGTCTGACTACGATTTTAAGTGTGAGGGCAGCTCTGGGATCTCAGGCTGGTTGAGCAAAGCAATAGAGCAGAAAGGAATGTGTGAGGTAGAACAAACATATGAGGAACTTAAATGTTCTTTAGTGGGAACACAGCAGCACATGCGTGCACACTGAAATCTCCAGGAGTAGTTAACATGAAAATTTTCCTCAGCCTTGGGCCCTCTCAAATTCCGAGCCGTAGCTAGTTGAATAATGCTCTCAGAATATATATTTTTATAGAAATAGCTACATGTAGTCCTTGCTTTTGTTTAGAAGTTCAAAGTCCAATTCAGAAAAGGATTATGCACAGGAGACAGACATTCCTGGCCTGCTTCAGGTATCACGTGTAGTGAAGGAAACGGTAACTCGGGAAGTTGCAGAGTCTTTGCAGCCATTTAGCTGAGGCAGCTTCGTTTCTGACCTTGCCAGACCTCCTTAAAAGGCTGTTTTGCGTAGTAAGTTGAATGTGGTGCCTTCGTTAAGGATGGCTCATCTCCCATGTCTTTCCTGGATGAAGACAGTAGGAAAGTCCACAGGATCTTCTCTATGCTGTGCCTCCTAAGCGTTCTTGTGGACATGCCACCGAAATCATGGGCTTGATTCTACTCGGAATTCCTTACCTAGTTTCATTTCTTTGAAATACTTTCTTTACATCTGTAGTTTCCTTTCCCTCTCACAAGACAAACAACTTTATTTAAGTCAGAAATACAAATGCTTCCAAGTTGTTTGTAAATTTGGCATCATTTTATAGAATTAGCCTATTTTCTATGTTCTTTTTAGTTCTAAGAACTATCCAGAGCTATCAGTTCAAAACCCTTGGTAAAATAAAATTGCAGGCCAACTATGAAGTGGGGAGGAGCTTAGGCTCAAAACCAACCTGAGCCTTGTGATGAGAACCTGTCACACAACATTAAAAATAAAATAAAATAGTAATGACAAACCTTGACCTTGCCTTTATTTGACCGATTTTCTGAGACTTTTCAATGACACAAATACAATTACAGTATAACCTTAGGTCAATACAAAACAAGATACAAAATCATTTACCAAACTAGGAGGCAGACCTATAAAACTGTCATATTTTGTATTTGATGGGACTTGAGAAACATATATATTAAAAGATAACATCCTCAAGCTGTAGGGATTCAAAAGATGTGAGAGTATTGAATTTTGGCTGCGTGCAAGGCCCCCGAAATGCACTATATTCTTGACCCATTCTCTGAAGGAAACAAGGGCTCTGCCTAGAGGCGTTATTCTGGAAAGGTAGTCATTCCTCAGGGGCGTTCCTGAGGAAGATGCTCCCAGAAGTGTGCATAGCTGCTTGGTTGGGAGAGGAGACGCAGTCACGGGTCTCACAGTGTGACTAAAGATGCTGCTGCAGCGGCTTTCCCGTGGGCTCCAAAGTCTACCTTTGTATGTGTCCTGAATCCTTCCAGGGGACACATGTGCCTAACGGATGCCCATAGCATCTGTAGCACAGCGCAGCCTGCTTTCAGGTGTCTGTCTTCTTTCATTACTAAATCTTCCATACTACCTTTTTGTGAGGGGGAGGAATTTGAGAGTTTCCCTGGATAGCCTTGGCTGTCCTGGAACTTGTTCCGTAGATCAGGCTGCCCTCAAACTCAGAGATCCGCCTGCCTCTGCTTCCTGAGAGCTGGGGTTAAAGGCATGCACCACTGCCCAACCATACTATAATTTTTAATGCAATTTATAACTAGATATTTGTTAATTTTAATTAAGGAGGGGTTTTTTTGGTGTTGTTTATTATTATTATTTTAAGATGTAAGGCCTTGAAGTGGTTTCTAAAGACAGAATCTTCCAGTCTCCTGGAGGTGTGGACATCACAGATTAAAGAAACATGGAAGTAGCTGTTTACACTGGTGTGAAAACATTTGTTGTTAAACTACAACCAGGAGACAGAAGGATGCGTCAGCAAGGAAAGCTACCCAATGCTAACGTGAAACCAGGGTTCCATTGCTGGGCCCGGTGTTGGAAAAAGAGCCCCGACTGCACAGTGTTGTCTGACAGCCACAGCTGCACTGTAGCATGTACATACATGGACACACACGTGTAAGCAAAATGTCATAGCGGTCACGATGGAGAGACAACTTGCTCCTGGTGCAGAAACCAGCATGCTGTTCTCAGCGCCATGGCAGCTGGCCTGGACCTCCAGCTAAGGGAAGCTGATATCCTCCCTCCTGCTGGCAGAGTTGTGGCTCATGGCTGCCATGGGCTGAAAGTTGACCATTTGTTAAGCGTGAACTGACGCTGTTGCTGCTTCCTGTTTCATTTATAAGCCTATGTCTTCTTATTTACTTGCTGGCTAACAAGAAAGCCTCTTTTTTAACTGTGAGTTGTTTCCAACAAATATACAC